TCTCCCTTGTCCTCACCACCAAGGCAAGCTCTCCTGCTAGTTCATGATGGGGGAAGTGCTTTTGTGTATGTGTTTGTCTTACTGGATGATAAATAAAATACTGTTTGGCCAATGAGACAGCAAGTTAGACAGGTCTAGGAGTCAAAGAGGATTCTGGGAAATGTAGCAGACAAGGGGTGATCCAGGCAGGAAGTGACATAGCAAGGAGACTCATATTTAAGCAAGGAGAAACAGGAAGTGTCCCTTTTCCCCTTTGTCTCCTCCAGTGGCGCCATGTGAGCCACCAGCAAGAGAGGGTGCCAGGGGAAAGCATACTTTATAAGATGTCTTATAAAATATATAGATTTATGATAATTAAGACTGAGCTAACAGATGAGAAATCCTAGTCATTGGCCAAGCAGCATTTGTACCTAATATGTCTCTGTATTATTTTGTCCATCCATGCGGTGGGCAGAACTTGGGCAGCTGGCAAGACTGCCCACGTGGTGGTAGGATTCGGGTGGCTTTTGGCGGAAAGACTTGTAACAAGTTCACCCCTTGCAGTGCTGAGCAAGAGGACACTTTCATGTCCTCAGAGTCAGTTATACCACAGCTACACTTTCAGGGCCAGCTTCACTGTGCTGCCCAGGCTTGGTGTAGGGGCCACTCTCCCAAGTGCTGCTTCTATAGCTTTGGGGGGATGCGAAGCTTTTAGCATGCCATAATTTGACCTGAGTTAGTTCTGGATCTTCCTTTTGTTATAAGTAGCCTGCACTCTTTCCAGATAGCAACATGGGCCAAAAGGATGTGAAAAGAATATTTGGAGTCTGTATAAATGTTTAGGGGCTGTCCTTGTGCCAATTGGAGGGCACAGGTGAGAACTATTTATTCAGCCTGTTGGTTAGTAGTGTGAGCAGGTAGTACCTGTACTTCTACCACCCCAGTATATAGCTCTATGACATAGCCTGCTTTTCAGGTTCCCTTGTGTTAAAAGGAACTGTCATCTGTATACAAGGTGTAGGTGACCTTAGGCATATGCCCTCCTGTATGCATAAAGCATGTGGCAGTAATTCTTCTAGGGTTCAATGAAAGAATGAGATGGGGAGTTGTCAGTGTTGGGCCAGGGAAGAAGATTTTAGATATTGAGGGGTGGGCAAGATTGGAAAGCAAGTATGGCATCTTGTACTAGTGCCACTTGGACAGAAAGAACCTGGGAAGGAGGTAGAGTTTGTAAGCTTTTATAAGCTAAGAAATGGGACAGGTTGTGGTAGGAGATTGTTGTGGGTGACCCAAAGGTTATTTTTATTTACAAATGGGTATCTCAGCAGCTACTAAAGCACATATGCCAAAGGCATATCCCTCTTTTCTGTCACATAGAGGGGAAAAGGATGAGTTAGGTCTCAGAGATGAAGATCTGGAGCCTGGAGGAGAGCCTATTGGAGCTTCTGAAAGGGCTGAGTAATGGCATTGTGGAGAGGTTCATGTGTGGGTCCAAGAACTGCCTCATATACGGGGCAAGCTGGGAGAGAAAAAGAGGGAATCAAGGAACGTAAGAAGCCAGCTATTTCTAAGAATGATAAAATTTCCTTAGTAGAGGGGACTGTGAAAGACCAGATTAGGTGTTTTCTATCTAAAGTGATGGCTTTGTGACTTGGGTAATGGTTAGCCTCAAGTAAGCGACCTGAGGAGTGGGCAGTTGAACTTTAGAAGGTGAGACTCTACAGCCATGGCTGGATAAGAAATTTAGAAAAGCAGAGATGTTAGTTTGGCTAATTTCTAAAGATGGGCTACAAAGTAAAATATCATCCACATACTGTATGAGTATAGATTTGGGGAGAGTAGGTCAGAAGCTAGTGCCTGGCAAAAATAGATGTGGGCTATCCAAGAATCCTCGGGTAGGACAGTCCAGGTGAGCTGTGTGGACAGATGAGTGTCAGGGTCAGTCCAGGTGAAAGCAAAGATATTTTGAGACTGAGAACTGTGAGGGATAGAGAAAGAGATCCAGACCTGAGAAATGAGAGGTCCCTAAAGGAACAGTTGAGATAAAGTTGTAGGGATTAGGCACCATGAGATAGAGAGGGACTACTGAAGAATTAATGAGCTTGAGAGATTTTGAACTAGGCAGTAGGTTCCGTTAGGTTTCTTAACTACAAGTATAGGGGCATTAAAGGAGAGGATGTAGGACAAAGTAGATTTTTTTTAATTAGGAGGTCAGAGATAATTGATTTAAATCCCCTAAGCCTCTGGAATGGGATTGGGCACTCGGCTTGGGTAATACTGGGTAGGGTTCTGTAATTGAACCACAATGGGGGAATGGTGTCTAGCAACAGAGGGGTTTTGGGTGTCCCAGAATTGGGGGTCTACGTGGGAGGCTAGCAGAGGAAATGACATATTGGAACCAGTAGAGTGGGTGGCTAGGAATAGGAGAGGAGCTGCTGGTGAATCTGGGGCCAGGTGAATGGGAGGAGCAAAAGAAACAAAAGCTCCTACTTTGGCTAAAAGATCCTTACCAAGGACAAGTTGGCACAACCAAAAATGAGTGAGTGAGAGGAATACACCTGAAAATGCAATTGAGTGGTGGGGTCTGATGAGGTAGGTAAGGCTGTTCCCCTACCCTGACAAGAAGGAAACAAGGAGAGGTAGGTCCCCCAAATTCCCTTAGGACCGAGTATGTGACATGGATGTCCAAGAGGAATGAGATGGATCACCCTGATACTGTGATGTACACCCTGGGCTCCTGTCAGAAATGAGCCTGGTCCCCTCAGAGAGCTAGAGACAGGCAGAGCTTGTTTTAAAGGGGACCCTTTTCACGTGCATACAGAACCTTTCACAGGCCACACAATGCATGGCGTAGCCACACCACAGTACATGACATAGTGATGTACCGCCATAAGGCCCCTGGGCTGACTCTCCTGAATCTGGTGAATGCATCCTGACAGCTGACAAGGTTCGGCATTCAGGCATTATGCCAACAATGATTGTTGGGGTTAGATTTATCACTGGCTTAGCCAAATGGTTAGATGTGATTGATGACATACAGATACTCTCATTTTTCAGTTTTATCTTTATAGCCTTTTTCTAGCCAAGTTATATTTTGCTGATATCACCAGAAACATTCTAATGAGGTGTGAAGGGAATTAATATCTACCATTTTCCTGGCCCTACTGGAAGTGCCCAAGACATGAAATTGTCATCAAGACTCTGACTGGGCTATGGTTATTTGAGAGTTTGACTTGGGCTACAGAGTTCTTGCAAAGAAGGCTTGCTCATTACATAGATGATGAAAACAGATGTCAGTCCTTGAAGACAGCCCTTAAGTCTCTCTTCCTTGCACAATCTGCTCAACAGAAGCTGCTAACTGTGATGTAACTAAATCCACTGAGGAGAGATAGAGAGAAAAGGGTCTAATGCTGTCTACTGGTCTAGCCTCAGAAGTGATAAACTGTCCTTATTGCTCAGTTGCTTTGGCCATAGTTATTAACCCAGATGTAATGTAGAAGGAAATTTCTCAATGCAGCATTGATACAGATCTTGTAAGTTGTCATAATACATGCTCAACTTTCACAGCAAACACATACTAAAATCAAACTGTTTATAATTTTTACTGGTTATTTTTTATCAATTGTATAGATGCAGAAAAGACCTTTTGACTAATTTCAACTTCCCATTGTAGTACAAACCTTTTTAAATCAGAAATATCAGAAGCACACTTAGGTTTAATACATGTCTTAATACATGACAAACCTACAGCCAAAATAACAGTAAGTGGGGATAAACTGACATCATTTCCTCTAAAATTAGGGAGGGGACAAGGGTCTCAGAAGGTGGGGTTTAAATGAGTCCATCAGACCCAAGATGAATGATAATTAGGTATTTATTAGGGTAGCACTTACACAGATAAAGAGTAAATAATCACTGTGGTCTTCCTGCTCCAGAAGATGCAGCCTCTGCCCTTCCAATGCTCTCACTGAAACCCAAGAGAGCAGGAGCCAGCCTCCCCTCTACTTTATAAGGAGTTACCTCTGAACCTGAAACCATGCCCAAGAGGTTTGGCCACCACCACCATTTCACTGGCAAAGCAAGATGACACTACAATTCCCCTTTGTCTAAATAAGAGGGTTTTAAACCTGATACAAAAGCTATGTACAAGGATAACAAATATCAAGTGTAGTCCAGGAGAAGGAAATGTAAAAAACATACAGAAATTTAGACCTATAACTAGCAAGAGCAACATTAAGCAATAAACACATACTAAATGCTCAGCCCCAGGGTAATGGCATAACAGAAATCACTCTGATTGCTGACCTATTTTGGAAAGTATAAGTGTTGTACCTAATATGCTCTATCTAAAATAAGAAAGTATATTAGTTGAGACTATCTAGTCTTCAACCTCATCAAAGGCCTGAGAAGGAAAATAACATTACTAGGGTAAGCAGGAATTGCAAATGTATGACTTCCTAAAGGTGCAAACAATGACAGAAACAACAGGCTACCTGTACAGTCACCCAAGGTCTCACAGTAATGAGTAATGTCAGGCCAACCAACTTTGGCTAAGGCCTAGAGTATCTGACAGACTATATTATAAGCAGGAAAACTGAAAAACTATCCTACCCTGACTTGGTAAGCTTCAGTAGTCGCTTTAAGTTTATTTCCTGCTAGCCCAGTTAGGACAGCACGTCCAAAGTCAGCAGTGGAGGTAGGGTCAGTTCTTTGCCCAAAAGGCCAGTAAGCCAAGAAGAAAGCAAACTCCAAATGGAGTGTCATCAGTGCCCATCACACTCGCAGAAATAGCTCGGTGCTGTGAGGAGCAATTGTGTCTCATGTCAATGGAGTTCTAAATCATTAAAACGTTTAAATGCCATATTCTGTAGGTCTTGGAAGTGTTTGAAGATTAAATATCAATGTTGGGCACATCTCTGAGCACACATAGAACCTGGCTAACATCATTAGGCATAAGAAGCACAGGTAACTATAATGTGTAATTCTTAGAAACAGAATTACTGTCATGAAGTGATTATATCTCACAAACTCAGCTCCAGGTTAAATTCATTTCTGATACAAAAACTGAAACCACATGGAATATATATGACTTGGTCTGGAATAAATTTTATTTAATGTTTCCAAGAAAGCTTTATAAGAATATGTAAATATAATTATATTTCATATCAAGCATGCATTAAATCAAAATATTTATTATAAAAAACTCTCTACCTTTATGCATCCTTATTTCATGCACAGATGTGAAAAATTCATCAAGCATAAAACACTAGGGTTCAAACGTATGAAAATGGTAGCACACAGGAACAGTCTACCAATTCAACATGGAAACGTAGCAATACTGTGAGACGTAAGTATTGTTGATGTAACCCTGGACCTCTCTTGTCTACTCTTTGCCTTAAGAAGTATTTAAATAATCAGTTGCTTACAGATAAAACGGTTTTCATTTTCACAGGATTCAGTAGAAACAAATAGGCTTGGACTATAAGCAATGCAGCCACTTGTTTTGATATATGAGGACACCGGAACTCTGTAATGAAGAAGAAAGTGTTAACATTTGAAAAACAGTAAGGATGTTTACAGTTATTTTTATTAGCTTAAAGTGTTTTGATAACTTTTGAGTGAGATATGAACCAAATGATTTGGGATTTTGTTTATTTGGTCTTGTTTTGTTGCCTTCCAGCAAACTTTCACAGTTTTGAAGTACAATAAAACTCAGTTACTTCCTCACTGGACACTAGCACTAAGACCAGAGGATAGACTCTGGTTTTGTTATTTGTTTCTTTGTTGTCTCTTTGCTCCTATCAGAAATGACTGGGTTGTATCTTTTGTCTTTTGAGACAATGTCTCAGTGTGTAGCTTTAGCTGAGCCAGAACTCACAGACCACGCCAGACTTGAACTCAAAGACATATACTTGCCTCAGTCTGTCTAGTTGGAATTAAAGGTGTGTACCACCATGCCTGGCCAGAAATGTTTTTGATAGTATATTGGTCTTCTATGTGGTTAAGGTGTATGAGTTTGAAAAAAGAAAATAGAAACAAAGAAAAAGCACAAGAAAAATATATGGACAATGAGACATACACATTAGCACACACAGAAAACCCATAAAAACAAAGTTGGAAAACATAATCCATAAACAAAATATCTGAAAAGTTAGAAAAAAGTGCCCTGACAAAGTGTTATGAAAGAAACAAAAACAACAACAAAAACTCTCTACCATTGAGTTCATTTTTTGTTGTTTTATGTTGGTCAGTTACTGCTAGGCATGGGGCCTGCCCTTAAGTGTGGTTTGTATAGGATTTTGAGTGGGGCATAGATCTAGGATCTGGGAGGAGTTGAGAGAAGGAAAACTGCAATCAGATTACACTATATAAAAGAAAAATCTATGAGCTGACCCTAGCTAGGGGGGAAGAGCATTAATTTTGTCACTGTATTACTCTCTAGTAATGCTTATGAATGAGAATGTGATCCAAGGACAACATTTATTCAGAAAATAAGTGCTGAATATTTAAAGATGATAAAAATATAATAGTGAAATCCATTAGAACAACAAAAATGGACCTGCTGTGTTCTCTGGGCATTCCTGTATCTGAGACCACCTGAGCAGGCATAGATACATCTGGTGTTTTCTATTGTCCTTCAGTAAGGAAAGACAGTAAAGAGAATTCTCTTCTGGTCTCAGGTACACACCTTGATGTTACTTGAACATGAGCTTGAACGTTATGGGTGGAGCAATCTGTTTGCCTTTGGGATTTTATATATTCACATGCTCCACACAAGATATTTGAACTCAATCTCCGGCAGTGATTTTTCAGTACTCGTAGCAAGGATAAATTCATAAAAAGTATGTCCACCCCAAAAAGATCCTCAATAGCCAGACACTTACAGATCTTTTGAGGGGGCTGTGCCATCCTCCCACAGCCAGGCATGCCGTTCCTCATTATAACGCATTCCAATCCAGAAATGGCTTTGACTGGAGTTCATAAAACTCTGATTAGAGGCAGAAAGAACAAGATAACCAACTCTGAATGTACTCTGAAATCAACTTACATTTTAAAAGGCATTCAGAATAAGATTCAGATTGTGGGTTCTCAACTTGAAATCTTTTTGTACTTCTGATCTGGGAGGTATAATTACATGTCTTAAATTTCTCCTTTACCAGGCCACATTGACTCATGTGGAAAAACACTACAAAATCTTGCTTCTTGAAAGGTGAGAATTGTCATAAAGAAAATGAGATTCCATGATACACTGATCTCCTTCATGAGATCAGTGATCAAAGGTGGCCCTGATGACAGCAACATGGTGGATAACACTCACACCTGTAACCTCTTCAAGCTGAGCAGAACACAGACAGCCTCAGAATTTCTTCATAAGAATTGAGTGATTTCCAAGAAGAGCCTGGTAGTTCAGGCCTGTAATCCCTGGTACTCAGGAGACTGAAGCAGTTCAGCCTCACTGAGCTACAGAGGGAGTATAAAGGCAAGCCTCAGATACCTCCTTCTGTCTCAAAACACATAGTAAAAAACGTTTTAAAACATGCTTGAGAATATAGCACAGTGGTAGAGTGTTTGCTTGGTGTGTGTCAGTTCCTAGGTTCATTCCCCATATGAACCACACAATAACAACAATCCTAATCTAAGTGATTTTATGTACTTGAAGGATTTTGTAGACTGTTTAAGAATATTTCAAAGGTGGGATGTTGGGGGGAGGGGAGGGAGAGGGAGAAGGGATTGACATCTGAAGCAAGCTTGTTCCTAATTTGAACTAATAAAATAAAATTAAAATTAAAAAAATCAAAAAAATAACATTAGCCAAAAAAAAAAGAAGAATATTTCAAGGTAGCGCAAACTGAGGAACTCAGCAACCATCCTCGGCTACCTGGTAATAAAGACCTGCATGAATGTGGTCAGTTTAGTTTCGGAGCACCTGTAAGAATGGAAGAAACAAGAAGGAAGTACGTGCCATTTCATTTTTGGTTTTGAGCTGAAGAAGACTGGAATTCTTAGAGGCACAGAAATCTCTGCTTTCTTCCCAAGACTTTCCTTCTTTGGAAATGAAGTAACAGTGACACTGATAACCAATCCACTTTTCTAAGCAAGCGCAGCATTTGGAAACTAAAAGATGAAACACATCGTTACAGATTTCGTCTTCTTTGATGCTACTTGACATTCATAAAGTTATTGGCTAATTATTCATTTCTTTCTACAAACACTTTGCTCCATGGGAAGGGTTTTCTAAAGATAGATTCGAAATGAAATCATTTTCTGTCCTTTGTTATGTTTAGTGATAATTAAATGAGAAGGAATGTGGAGAAGCATGTGGCATCGAACAGGAGAGAGTGGCAGTCAGAAGGATGACTTTGAGGATGTACACACAGCTGAGGATTATAATGAGCATAGGACTAATTAGATGAAAGGAACTCGAAGGAAAGGCCTAAGTCAGAGAAGGATACAGTACATTGAAAGAATTCTTATGTGTTCAAAAAATGAGGATAAATAAACCAAATAGCTTCCAGATTGATGGACAGTTTATGGGTGGTAGTGTGTCCTCAGAATCGCTCTTCCTTAGTAATAAGCATTGAAACACATAGTAGGCACTCAAATCTTCATCACACAAACGACACTAAGTTGAAATAAGAGAAAATTAACTGTATGATCAGAAGGTTATAAACTTGAGGAGCATTTGAAAAAGAATTTTAAAATAGAGTTTTGGACTATCTCTTGAGAGTAAATAAGGTTTTTAATTACAGAAATGTCTACACTGAATTCTGAATCAAAAAAGTTGAAAGGAAAGAATATGAAAGCATAGGTTTTTGGAAATCACAAAATAAGATTTGTCTATAATGTTTATTGTCATTTAATTTTGTTTATGAATGATTCATGAACACTCCTTAAGAAACATGTGTCTGCCATTTCAGGCTGGTATCTTCATTTTTCCTGAAATTTAAGATGATGTTTTGCTAGACTTTGTACCTGGAGTCTTCTCAAAAGCCCTTACATGCGAAAATTGGCAGTCATGAAGCCCTTTAGACATAGAATATAATAGTTCTTTTTCAGGGTACTGGGGTAGGCTTTCAAATGGGGAGTGGAAACCCTACTATTCATCTTCTTCCTCTCTTTGGTTTCTAGCCATGACATGAGAAGCTGTGTACCCACACATGCTTCCACTGTGACACACTGTCTTGGCATAGGTACAAGACTGGTGAGCCCAGTCAACCACAGACGAAAACTTCTAAAACGATAAGGAAAAAGTGAAGATCTTCTTTAAGCAGTGTTTAAATTACTTCTTAAGTAGGCTAACACTCGCAATTCGGTATAATTTTATTTTTCTTATACTACAGCACAATACAGTGAGACTCTTACTTAGTACAACCATGTTACAGCACACGAGAGTGAACTCCTCTGTCCTATCCTCTATCAATCATAAAGTTTGTGAAAAAAGTAGAACTTACCTTCCTGAAGTTCTACAATGGAAGTTGGAGAAGGTATTGGTTGAATACTCCATATAGTAAATGCTGTAAGACATGAGTAGATATTTGCTTAGTTTGACATATATTTATTAAATAAAATGTTATACATTAGAAAAATTAAATATTCATTATAAATTAGTTGATCATGATGTTGATTTTTTTTCTATAGGTTTGCCTAGAAACACTTACAGTTTTTCATCAAAAATCCCAAAGTAGCCATCAGCAGAAGACATTTTATTCCAAAGATCACAGACATCAACCTCCACAGAGCGATCCTAGAAACTACAGAAAAATAGCAAGCATGGAGATTAATAAATAACAGATTAAAGTGTGAACACAGAAGATGAAGTTCTTAAGAAGAGAAAGAACCCAAACCTTTCCTGGGATGGCACAGATGTCTCTCCAGTGAAACACTGGGGAATGAAAACATAACTGCAGATCTCTGCCCAACAGCAATCTTTTGATGTGGTGTGCCTTCTTCTTTGATGAGGTTATAAGGGTATATATATATATATATATATATATATATATATCCTCATTAGAACCCTTTACCACTAAACTTTATCTCTACAGTAAGAACAGACCAGCAAGCATCCATGGTGCACAGTGGACTTGCTAAATAGACATTTTTTTTCCTTTCAAGAATATCATGAATAAAAATTTGCATTAGAGAAATGATAAAAATGAAAAATGAATCACAACATTATTTTCTTATAAAGCTAGTGAATGCCTAACAGAAATCCAATAGAATAGTGAAAAGATCCAGAGTCTGCCATTTATCATATTCCTTTTTTGTCAGGAGAATACCGTCACAGAATGTGTTCTCTCCAGGTCTGAATGCAGACGGAGCTTGTAGAGGTCTGCAGGAAGAGAGAGAGGAGCCTTCTAGACCAGGTGTGGTGGGAGGTTCTACACTGATGTATGGATTGAGGGTCTGAGTTCTGTTCACTGCACCCTGAATTGTGACACAAAAGTAACCTTTGACTTTCTGTTGTCTCAATATTATCATAGCTCATTTGCAAAGTCACATGCTTATTGGATGAAACACTCTAATAGTAGACGATTATCTCTCTCTTTTTTTGTTTTCAGATTTTTTTTATTTGAATTAGAAACAAGATTATTTTACATGTCAATCCCAGTTCCCTCTCCCTCCCCTCTTCCCCTACCACTCCCCACCCAACTAAAACCCTACCTATCACTTATCCTTTCTGCTCCCCCTGGAGGGTGAGGCCTTCCATAGGGTGTCATCAGAGTCTAGACGATTTTCTCTTAACATTAGAATATTGTCAAAATATAGTGCTGCCACCAACAACAGTACAAAGCAGCAGTGAAAAGACCACAATACAGACAGCAAATCTATTTATAAAGTGTTGTGTCCTTAATATTTGGCGTTCTCTATTTCCGTGCTAGAGACATGTTGCTGACGAGTTAATCAATTTAGTTTCAGTTTCATTCTGAATTTAACAAAAGCTACTCCCTAACTCTGTTAGAAAAGGCTTACAAGAGGTTTAGCTTCATAATGTCATGTTCAAGTTTCAAAATGTGGAATCAAGAAAACAATGAATGCAGAAAGTATTAAAGCATGGAAAGTCTAAAGTATCCAATGCTGATTATGTACTTTCTGTATTATTTGTATTAAACCAAGCCCTGAAGTTACTTAATCCATGAGACATCATTTCTGGTTACTGTTTTATCGTTGCTATGACGGGGCACACGTACCTGCCATGAGATGTGATGCTCCAAGGATGATTCAGAGGAGATGTGTTTATGCCTAAGAATGATGTAGATCCCAGAGCTGAGCAGGAAGCTAAGAAGACAACATGGATTAGAAGAGTCAGGGGCATTGTGTGTTGCAGTGATGCTCTTGAGTCATCCGTTGGCGGTACACAGATGCACAGTAGGAATGTGCCTCAAGTTTCTAACATGACCCTGGAACCACAGCACAGGAAATTCTCTCTGTAACTTTGTCACAAAACAATAGAGCAAAAGGAGATGGGAGAGAGCTTGTTTTCAATGTGTGAACATCAAAGCTGTCTCTAAAAATCTGTTAGAAAAAAAGGGGTAAGATGTACAAATCAAAGATAAATTCCTTTAGTATTATAAAATCCCACACAGATTTTCCACCTTTCTTATAACAAATACTTATTTACTTTCTGTTAAACAAATTTTAAAGCACACATTGTGCCAAAATATTTCTTTTTATGGCTTAATAAAGAAGATACCAAAAAGTGCTAATTTGCCTAAGGCTCCTTGAGCTTGATGTACAAGGAATTTATTTCAAGCCAAGCCCCTGCATGTATTTGCACTTCCTAGGTTGGCATTTCTCTTCTTTAGCACAGACTGGTTGAAATATCCATGTCTCCTTCTGTGGTTCTGATAGATGGTGTATTAACCCTACCACCTCCTCCCCTCCTGCTTTTCTTCCTCCCTGGACACACATTTTTAACCTTCCCTTTCATTCTTTCTAAACTACAAACTCTATTTGAATCTGTTTCCTTTTTGTACACAGATAACTAAATTGTTTTCACACAATGGTGTCCCTCCTACTCATCTCCACTCAAAACAGAGTTTATCTGCTACAATTATCTCACTTGGATATTTGATAAACTCTGGTCAAATGCTGTCTGAACCCCTGTATCTATGTTTTATTTTCACTTAGAACTGCTAGAAACCTTGGTGCTCCCATACATGACAGTCCAACATGATGGCTACTTATCACCAGGCTAATGACCGTTATTGACATATCTCAGAATTCGATACAGCTCACCCACATTGGCTTTAAGGCCAGAAAATGTGGACAGTGTTATTTGTCCCACTTTTCAGAATTGCCTAACCATTGCAAGGTACTACTTCAAGTGACTGGTTAAGAGAAAGAACAATCACAAAAGTGTTCTACCTTAACCTGTGTTACCAGTGCCCCTCCCAACCCAATTCAATATATATATATATATATATATATTCCAAATAAACTTTGTACCCGAAACTTTTCTCAGAACTTACAGAAACACCCAAACTGCTGCTCAGCAGATATTGAGCTTTACTGTTTCAGACAGTTATGTATTCTTCCAAGTGTTCCATTCCCCTCCCTCTGCCTCCCCTACTTTTTTGTTCACTGCCATTTCTCTGTAATTGCCAGAGAATTAACTCAAAATAAATGCTGACTTTACTAACTACATCTTTAAAGCTTGAGGATAGAACTAGGAAATCTAATGCGCGCTGAAGATGTGAATAGTGGGGTATTTTCTATACCTACACATGTAGACCTAACACTATAGAATGCGTTGGCAAGAAGCATTCCAAAGGAGAGATCTGTTTTCATTTCACTTCTTCTAAATAGATACGTTTTCCCATGGTGCACCAGTTTGCAAAGCAGTCCTCTTTGTGGAGGCTTCCTGAAGAGGAAGATGCCTGGCCTGTCGTAAAGTCTCTTGTGAAAAATTTAACAAACCCTAGTGGATTTTGTTTGATAAAATCCTTACACATTGGATATTTTCACGAGGTTATGTTAGTTTTCAAATTAGAATTTCTAAGTTGATGAAGTATGATTTCTTGCCAAGTACGATGGCACAAACCTGTTGTCCCAGCACGGGGGAAGTGGATGTGGAATAATCAAGAGTTAAAGTCAAGTCTCAACTAATATATTTATTTATATCTTTATTGAAATAGGAAACAGTAAGAAAGTTGAATAAATATGTTTTATTCATGACTAAATCCATCTCATTTTCACAGAAATATAGGTATCTTTTAAACTATCTGCTTTTATTAATCATAAATTTTAGTGAATCATATGATTGTTTGCTAAAATTTTCTTTTTGTCTACAAACCAAGAAACAAACATTTTCAGAATTCACTATCCATTTAGCCTTCTAGTCGCTTCCCTCTTTCTATTTCTTTATTTTAGGACCCTCTCTTGAAGGCCAATATGAACAAAACAATGCAAGCTTACTCGTGTGTACAAGTCACCCAGAAACTCCTCTCTTCTGTTGTGTTCATGAGTGAACTAAACAAACACTTCTTGTGGTCAGTGGATAAGAAACTCTGGGTGACTTGAACATCATGGCTGAAGGCCCCATTTTCAGTCCTAGAACTTCCCTTAGATAAGAATGGATAGCAACAATCATCTCAAAGAGAAGCTAATGTATAAGGACACAACGCAGCAAACAGATAACCCCATTGGCACTTCCTTGAGTTTCCTTGTTTAGTTTCTTGTATTAGGATTGACTTTTCTGCATGAGGCTTTTGCTAATCTACATGGGAAAGTTCACTCTAAAGTATAATCATTGGGGAAAGACAACAACAGTGGATTCTCATCTGTGTGTGATGGGTGTAGTGTTTGTAAAAACTGAAACTTAGATTAAGAATGACTCCCATGAACTTTTACTTGGAAATAGTATATCTACCATTTCTGATGTGGGCTAAATCTTTTATTAATCAATATAATAGAATTGAACTTTAAGAAAAGAGCCAACAAAGGGTCTGAAAAAGGAAGGATGGGAACATGTCATTAGCTCATGTTTATATCAAGCTGAAGCAGAGATTCACAGCTAAGCACTGAGCCAAACTTCTGGAATCCAGTTTTCTAGAGGGAGGAGTAATGAGTAGACGTACTTAGTAGGTAATGATCCTCAAACTTGTCAGAGATCTGTTGAATGTGACATTTAAAATGTTTAATTGGGGACTACCTTAAATGTCCTTCCCTGTAATGAGATTGATGATTATTTTAAATGCCATCCTAGAGCCTTCATCCTGTTGGAAGCAGAAGCAGAGTTTCACTACTAAGCACTGAGCCAAACTCCTGGAATCCAACTTTAGAGAGGAAGGAGTGATGAGAAAAGGGGTAGAGGCCATGCTGGGGAAACCCACAGAAACAGCTGACCTGAGTACCTGGGAACTCAGGGACCCCAGTCTGACAGCTGGGAAACTTGCCTAAGACTGAACCAGGTCCTCTGAACATGTGTGTCAGTTCGCGGTGGAACCAGTATTTATCCCTATTGCATGAATGGGAGCCAATTCCCCATGGAGGGATACTGTCTCAACCTAGATACATGGGGGAGGGCTAGGTCTTGCCCCAATGATGTGTCAGACTTTGATGATTCCCCATGGGAGGCCTCACCCTCCCTGAGGAGTGAATGGGGGGTAGGATTCCGGGTGGGAGGATTGGAGGAAGGGGTAACTGGGATTGGTATGTAGAATAAGATTGTTTTTAACTTAAATAAAAATTTTAAAATGACTATAAAATACTGTTAGCTTCTGTTTGTTTTTTTAAAATATAGACCACCAATAGAAGTATAAGAAATTCATTTGTAATATGGACTTCATTTTCCCCAGTGTTGATATCTTACATAGCTAAAATGCAAGTGAAAACCAAGAAACTGACATTGGTGAAATCCATAGAATTTATTCAGATTTTGCCAGTTGCATAAGCATCCATTAACTTGTGTGGATAGGTGTTCATATATGTTCACAAAAACATGCATAGCTCAATAGTATATACATTTTGAGTCAGGTGTAGATTAGAAGAAAGGACATATGACAGGTAGGATTTTAGTTGGGGGGATGGTAGAGGAGGAAGGGAGGGGGAAGGGAACTGGGATGGATCGTCATGTAATTCAATCTTGTTTGTAATTCAAATATATAAAAAATATAAAAAAACAAAAGACTGACAAAAAAAGAGAAAAAAATAGTATATACATTTAATCATGACCATACACTGTCCTTGTTTATATTATAGAAAGCAGTTGTTGATAAATATTTTGTTAATCTGAAGTATAATTTTTTATAGAAAAACAGGATAAACAAAAATATTTGCCAATTTTGTGTAAATGGTTTGGTTCCATGGGGGAGAATTTTAGTGTTTAACTTATATGTCTCATTTTAATATAACATGTGCATGCATGTAGATATGTCTACATATGTATATATGAATTTGTATATGAATGTATGCATTTTAATGAAGTATTTTGACATTCCATTCTTTTATTGAAAAGTTTGCCATCCTCAATAGTATCTTTATGTAAAGAGAATCATACAAATACATGCAGCAAAGAGGAATTCCTCTTATCTCTGGACTTTCTTCCTGGAGTTTAAGATTCTGATGTCATTTTAATTGAGCAGCCAAGTTGCTTTTTGTCATTAAAGCCTGCCATAGAACATTTGCAAGAATCTACTAAGATGTTCTTCCAGGAGCTTTCTCTGAACCTCTTTAAGGTCCTTTAAAAACAGACACTTAGTACCTCCCATCCAGATGAGGAAGTATTTGACAGAGTAGAAATGCTTGCCATTCTAATTTAACACCATGTTTTACTTGACCTCTGATATGCTGTCTAGTAATTTTCAAGTTATATTTTGGGAACTTGATCCTGTCTTTTTTTTAAACAAATGCAAAATTATCATTTCACAGTTTCAAGCCAGTTTGCAGATTTAGTCATGGTTATTCACCAGAGACATTACACAGTCCACTGCCACGTTTCTAAATTCACACTGATTTAAAAGTACCAAGAGACACACTTTTCACAGAGAACTAAGAAGAAAATTGAAGCAGCAACCTTCACATTGTTCAGTCACCGTTTACTCACCCTGGATGAGACGTGGCAGCATTCAAGTGTGGGCTATTGAAGTTCCTTCCCAGCCCTGTTTAGGTGACTATTTTATACAACAGTCATGTCTTCATGGAAGGCTCCAGATGAATTCGACCGCATGATAACATATTTTAAACAAAAAATGTTCACATTCTTCTTGGTTGTTTAGAGTATAAGGATGTTTATAAAGCCAGAATAGAAAGGCATATACAACTTATTTTTGTAATTTCAGTCCCTAAGGTATACGTTTGCTAAATATTAGCACATTACAGAGGACCTCAAAGCAAGTGTAAGAACTTCCTGAGAGAGTTGAAGCTATAGCTTTTCACCTCCTGGGTAGCTGAAAATAGTTTAACTGTGGTGAGTTTGGGTGGGACTTTGGGTCATTATTCTGATACAGCACAGCAAGGTTTGCTGATTTGTCAGCTCTTGACATCGAAAGATCAAGCACTTCCATGGATTACCAGTGACATATCACTGATTCTCTTTCTTGTCCTTTCAGCAAGATGCCTACCTTGTTAATATCAGGGTAACTGTCTGCCAATGAAACCTGGACAAAAAGAAGAGGTACTGTGATAAGTAAAAAAGATTCCCTGAGCAAAAGGTGCACTCGTCCCTAGACAGAAGACTAAGAATCAGTAAGGCCATCTAAAGGGCACAGCATACAGTCCTTGAACACAAAGCTTTCACTTGGGGAGTGAGTGTAAAACAATGTACATGTGTTTCTTTCTTTTTTCACTATTCATCAGGCTTTCCTGAAGCTCACTATGAAGTCCAGGGAAGCATGAAATTGAGGTAATTCTCCTGTCTCAACCTCCCAAGTGCTGAAATTACAGGCATGAGCTGGCATGCCTAGGTTCAAGACAATGGTCATTGATCATTGGCTACAAAGACTTTGGAGACTAACACTGTAAAAGGATTTAGTTTTATTATTTTTTTAAAAGCTTTGTGTGTATAGGGGCATATCCACATGAAAACAGTTGTTTGTGAAGGCTGGAGGTGTCGCCATTGTGAGCCACCAGACTTGTGTGTTAGGAACTGAGCTCTTGTCCTCTAGAAGAGCAGCAAGCACTCTTAACTACTGAGCCATCTCTCCAGGCCTGGAGATAACATTTTAAAGGGACCTCTCTGAATTGTGATATGAGCCCAGCCACTGTTTGGATCTGGCTTCAGTCAACAGCTCAGTTACAATCCATGAACATAAAAATCATACCTGACGCATCTCACTGTACACTGCTGAATATTTCCAACCATAGAGATACCACCACCTGAAGTAACAACTCTTGCTTACCCAAGCCTTGATGTGACCATGTGGTCTAGGGGAGAAGTAGAAGGTGATTGACAGGGAGAATGCTATATCCTAAAAATAAAAGGCTACTGCAAAAGGTTTTGGATCTGAAGCATTGCCACTGACCACAAAGCAGAAGACAAAGGAGGGGAGAAGGAAGGGGCCACAAGCGAGCTTTGCAAGTGTAGCTGTGGCTGATCATTATCACTCTAACTGCAACACTGGCGTAGTTCTAACAAGGCATGGCCACAGGAAACAACATTAAATTTGAGCCTATGACAAGGAAGGTAAAAAGTGTCAACCACAAAGATAACCCAATGAACATGAAACATTGAGTGGACTGTAAATACCACTTGCTGTTTCCATGGGATCCTTTAACTGTCTTCCACTAGTGGACTCAGAGGTGGGATGACCTGTGCCCAGAGATAATGAAAAGGCAGAGGCTAGAGAAAATTTTGAAAAATTCCATGCACAACTATACGATGCTTTTCATAGTTCCTTACCTCGGAGATAAGCCAAATATGGTGAGAGAGAGACAGACAGAGAGAGAGAGAGAGAGAGAGAGAGAGAGAGAGAGAGAGAGAGAGAGAGAGAGATTAATGTTCTGATGAAATTTGTCAGTTGCCACTGATTTAAAAACAAATGTGAACCATTGAGCTCAAGGGGAGCAAAGTCTGTCACCAGGATTGGAACAGGAAAAGTTCAAAACAGGGGAAAGCTGTTCAGGTCAGATGAAAAGAAAGATGACACCTGGCAAAGACTATTAATATGAACTTTGAATTGTAGTCTTATGAACCCAAGTTTATGAACCCAAGAATTATGAACCCAAGTTTACCAGTCAGCCATGGGGCTATGCCACCCTGATAATTTAGCATGAATATAATCTTAGATTAAGAATTAATTTTCAAGCAGAAATTTTGTTTTTAGTTTTTAACACTATAGTATCTCCTTGTTTTGACAACAATGGTCTATATCATGAGTACACTGAAATGTTGTGCGTTGTGGTGGTTAAACCAAGTGTGTTTTCAGCATGGAAGTCATATTCTAACTCAGGATAGCAAGGAACATATCCCAATCAAGGTACAGTTTTGCCAACAAAGTCAGGAAATAAAGTAAAATCAAGCTAAAATACACTGTGATTACTCTTTTACATTCAATATTCCCTCACCATCTCTTTAAGGAAGTAAAACTCAATGTTAGTAAAACATATTGTGCAAATATAAAAGTGAAGTTATTTATTTAAAATTTGGGGGGCAAAAGCTGTTTTAAGGTTCAGATATTTCAGAGAAAAGAGATAAAATATCTTGTTTAAAGATACTGACCTAAAAGTAGAACTGCCATGGCCAATCAAAACTCAGAAAATAAAACATGGACCAGCTTAGGAAAACAGAACAACTTGAAATCACTCTTTGCCTAAATGTTCATAACATATACATTATCAACAATAAGTCTCAAAATAGCACACCAAGGGAACATGTTTTATATAGGGAAGTACATGCTATTCTTATCATTTTTTAACAAACAAAAGGAAAGGCTTAGCAAAGAAACAGAGCAGCAATTTTCTCTGGGAAGTGGTAGGAATTTACTGAAATTTATGAAACTTCCTAGTATATCCTAAAACTATGTGTTTGACTACTAGTTTCCAGACTCATTGAGTATTATGCTAAGATTTGTGAATTTATAATATATAAATATTACATCAAGGAAAGAATTGTACACAGATTATGAAACTAGTCATTGATAACCATTTCATAAAACTATGAGGGAATTATGTTGACATAGAGAAATTATTCTGAAATCCGTAAAATTTAACATGTGTTGATTAATCAATAGAGAGATGGGTACATTTGTGATAGTGAGAGAGCCAAGTGTTCATAGTAAAGTCTGCAGGGTTTTGCCAGTATTGCATCAGTCACTGAAACTTCTAAAGCAGCTGAATTGAAATAAATGTTTAGTAACTGTGTCATTCTGTCATTTTAAGAATACTACGTAAGACACAATAAAAAGAAATACAAATTTGGCAATTTCAGTTTGTAAATTAAATTACTTTACATGAAAACCCGACTTAAGCTTTTGTCCCCAGTTAATTGTATTGGGGGATTAAACAGTAGAGTCAGTTAGACAGCATATTATTGGGGGATTAGACAGTAGATTGAGTTGAACAGCATATGAATTCAAACTGATAACTAATTCCAAATTTTTTAAAATAATTCTGGTTCTTGTGTGGTCAAATGAGTCATTTTTAAATATAGTATCTGTTTTCAGTTAACAATACATTTTAACATTGTGGCATGTCTGCATACACATACATGTACATATGCACACCCACACATGCATACAAGTGAGCTGAGCAGAGACAAGAGTGTTACCGTACATAGCTCAAGCTTTTAAATGTCCAGCGGTTTAACTTGAACTCATCAGCTTTATCTCATTGTTTCATTCAGAAACCATATATTACAGTGTCTTCTAAAATGTATGCAATATGTAATAAGTAGGGTAGCATAAACATTGACAGAGAATGACACTGGAATGTATTTGAATATAATTTTATTTAAGCAAAGACAAACATTTGCAATGTTTTCTTCAGCAAATAAGCACCCAAAAAAAGTTTGAGAAGATTTAATTTTCATATCTTCTGTGACCTCATAGGATTAAATATTGTACTTCTTGCAAATATATTGCTGTTTGGTTGTACATTTTTCTGCATAACAAGTTTCTTTTGATTGATAAGTTACACAGTTGCCTTGCGTGTTGGTTTCGAGACCATAAAACCTAAAATGATAGAAATTCTACTGTTAACAAGAAATTACATGGCATTCCAAATCCACATGATACTGCAGAACTGTTACCCTACATACAAAATTTAAAAACCCAACCTTGTGATTTCCATAACCCATAATCCATGTTGATAAAATGTTAGTAAACTGCAAAGTTATCAAATCAGTATGGAATTGTAAATATTGATTAATACTTCAATTAAGAAGAGAGAGTCTGTCGGGATGGGATGTCAATAGGTTGTCAGGGTAGAAAGGGAAATAAAAAAGTAATGAGACTGTAAGTGGGGCTCAGAGGAGTCGCTCAGTGGTGGGAGTATGATGCTGGCAAGATTAAGGCTCTGCACTGGATCCATGAAACCGCAATAAAAAAAAAGAATAGAGCAAAATAAACTATGCATTACTCACCCAATTAAAAGTTTCCAGTGGTATGAATATACATTTAGGCACTACAGTGTTTAGTCTCATGGTGACTGGAAATATTAAAGCCCATGAGGACAGTGATGACATATTACAGACTACACTAATCTTAGGTGATGCAGTCGTTGGTCTGACTGGCCAGGAAACAAAACACTGAAATAAGGTTGGGGGAGGGTTGTTCTTGAAACTTACAGCTAAAGGAGTTTGTGCTAAATGAAGGCTTGCCAACTTTTCTCCAGCCAAATAGAAAGCTGCCTGATAATCTAGCTAAAGGTGTCATTCCTTGGACGTCTGTCTCTCTTTTGGTAAATTACTGGGAAAGCTCCTTCCTAGCGGGGAGGGGAAGTGAAAGAGATACTGAAACGGATCGGCCGGAAAGAGAGTGTCAAGACAAGTGTGTGAGGATAATGTTCATCTGCCTGGGGACTGTGTTCAGGGTCAACTCTAGGAACATCGCCCCCTGCTGGTACTTTTTATGAAGTGACGGGTGAGCAGAGGACTATAAACACTGTTGGGTATTGGTTTGTTTTATTATTCAGTTCTTGTGGAGTTTTAAAAGTTAAGTAGAGAGCAAAAGTAACTCAAAGTAAAACAAAACAGGACAAAATGGTGAGCTTTCCTTCCCCAAAAGTTTCTAGTTTCCTTGGGTTTCAATGTGCACTGGTTTCTGCTTCTTCTTTCCAGAATGAGGAAAATCTACCACATGTCTGTCTCACTTGAAATCTCAGAGACAAATCATGTTTAGATGTACAGATTCACACTGCAGAGGAGGTTTGCCTTGGGGTGAGTCAGATCTCTAATGGACTGAAAATTGGTGCTGGGATAGTTTATCTCCTTGGTGCTTTTGGAACAGTGTGTGAATACTTTTGCAAATGAGAAAAATGTGAAACTCGGGGAGCAAGAAGGCAGAGCGTTTATTAGGCTACCCCAAATCCTTACCTCCAGTGCTCAGAATCTGTCTGGAGGTGGAGTCCTTAAGAAATAAGTCAATTAAAACGAGTTCGTTAGGGTGAGCCCCAGTGCCAGTGGCATCTTCAGAAGAGGAATTAGTGAAAGGACAGAGAGAGGAGGGCTAGATCTAAGCTGAGGAGGGCTTCACAAGGTATACCTGTTGATATCTTAGGCTTGGACTTCTAGCTGGGAAACTATAAACAGAAAATAAAAGCCTTTTGTTTTGCCACACAGTTTCTTTTGGTTTGCTAAGGAAATTTGTAAGAAAATTTTCAGAGTAAAATAGATGAAGGGATAAAGTAAGGCATCTCTTCTGCACATGGGATGTGTATAAAAGACTCTGTCTCCTCAGTTCTCTAATGGTGCTGAAACTGTGCCCAGAACCCTTCATTCACTCCGTAACTAAACACCTGATGTCATGTGGATACTCACATCTCAGAGGGAAGAACTGAATGGTTTTCCCACAGCCACTGTCTGCTAGTTTTATTGTAGTAAACTCCAACCCAAAAGAAATTCTTGAAACTGAAAAATTCCTGAAAGTGAGAAAGAAAAAACACACAGGGCTCCCATCATGGTCTTTTCATCAGTTCTATGGATGTGCCTTTGAAAAAGTCAATTCCCTCTGCATGTATTTATCCTATGTCTGAAGTACACAGCCACACCAAATGGTGCTGTATTATAAGACATACGTCAGCAATGAAAATTTCAATGTTTATTTTGAGTTAAGTAAAATAAAAAATAAACTAAGTGAGGAAATGGGTAGTTTGGGTTAGAGATGAAAGAAAATGAGGATATTTTTAAAGGGTCTTTATGGGTTTCTTGGAGACTAATTTTACTCTGGTACCTTCCTGTCTATAATAATAAGACTTTCTTTTGGGGAAGCACAAAGTAGATACTTTAACTTGATCCCAATGTAATAGCTGGAATTAGAAATAAATTCCTTCACATTGTCACTTGGTATTCTAGACCAAGACACCTGTGCCATCTTCTTGTTGGACTATGCAGAGTCATTTTGTTTTTTTCTGTCTCTGTGCTGAGATATTAGTGAAAACAAGTGTTTCCCTCTGAATTCATTACAATTACTTATCCATCCATCTATCTTTCTATCTATCTACTGGTAGTACTGAGGATTGAACTGTAGGCACCACGTGTATGACAAATGTTTTACCACTAAGCTACATTCTTCAACTCCCATACTCTTTTTAGAGAGAGGGGAGTCTTTTTTAAGTTGTCCAGGCTTGCCTTCAACTCACTCTGTAGCCTGGAATCCCAAGGAGATGGGATTGCAGGCCTGTGCCACCAGACCCAACTTCATTCATAAATGGAATTCCAAATATTGTTTTACTATTTCTCTCTTTTCATAAAATACATAGGTCTACCCTATATTTTGCACATAAAACTGAAACCAAAGATAGAACTGTTTCATCCTTCAGCCATTGACTCAGTGCTAAATGTAAGCAAGTGTAAGTGACGGTCAGCTAAACCAGTCAATCCCTTTGGAGTCCCTGTGCCTTGTGACTCACATTTGCAGCAACTTACCATCTCCTCTCTGCTTATCCTTATGAGACTAGAATTGAGAGACAAGCAGGCTTGCTGACTCTCTCTCCACGTTAGGGTTTCCTTGGAGAAGTAATAACAGCTGCATCTGAACCAGACCCAGTTCTCTGGACAGGGATGATGAGGTCCTAGGGAAGGAGTGTCTGTCACTCTCCTGGAGATTCAGGCTCTGGTGCTTTTCACTTGTTTAAAACAAGGAACGTGTACACATAAAACACTGTAGCAATGTTCTATAAAGACAACTAAAATAGTTATGATAAAACTATGAAATATACTTTTGGCTGTATTTTTATCTGAACTTTCAGACCTTTTCTATTTCAGAAAACATACATCTGCGGAGACCTATCTGTCCTCACTGGTGAACCATTAGTTTTCCTATGTCTGTGGAAACTGCAGTGGAAACTCTCCTTTACATCATTAGATTCTCTTTCTCTGTTGAAAAAATGCTCTTACAAAATTTGTTCTCACATTAATCCCATTCCCATACAAAACCATGGATTTTTGCAAGACTGCTTATTCTGTGTACAGACAACAACAATAATTCTGTATTCTACTGCAGTTTATTATACAAATCTCTGTCCCACATTAACGTAAGTCGTTAAATTCCTGCGACCATGTCATATCTTTTCTTAGTTATGCCAAAGTGTCTTGCTTATGAAGACTCTGTTTGCTATTCATGGAGTTGATACAAACGATAAATGTGTTTTCCTGATTGAATCTGTGCACAAATACTAAGAAACCAACACCTACCTTTTTGCTGGATCATGGGACATTGTCTTTCAGAAGATACTAAAAAATAGTCCACAACATAATTAGTTCTTTCTTTTATAGTGACACATAGACAGAATTAATAAAAGTCTCTGTTCTAGAATAGCAATATGCAGTTTGATAGAAAATGTTTAAAAGGAAGTAGGGTTTTTGTTGTTGTTGTTGTTGTTTCCTGGAGATGGTACTCCGGTCCCAGTGTCTCACACGTGGTAGACAAGCACTCTAGTTGTGCCCACAGCTAAAGAGAAATTTTGATAAGTTGCTGCAAGCCTGCCCCAAAGGAGAACAGGGAGAAGCAATAGGGACACTCACAGTTTGTACTGAAAACGGTCGCTGCTATGGCTACAGCCATCAGAATGCACATGACACCAAGCACACTAGAGATGAGCCTCCATGGAGATGAGAAATTCTCTGAGAAAGAGAAACCAAAGAGTGGGATCAAAAGCAGCTGGCAGTAGGAGTGAGGTGATGGGACAGACAGGGGTGTTCCGTGGGCTCCTTCCCTCAGCACCACTCTGGGCTGCTCTCCTCAGGGTCATTGTGGGATGCTCTCCTCAGCATCATTATGGGATGCTCTCCTCAGCAGAGCATCCCAATGCTCATTTACTTCTGAGATTCTCCTACCTAGTCTGTTAAATATTTTCACCCAAGGTGCAAAGCAAATAATGGCATGTTAGTAAAAATGCCTGAGCAACAGAAATATATTTACTTACAAAGGTCACATGACAAAATAATGTATCTGAAATGTGCCATGGAGCTAGTTTAAATGTCCTTAATTTAAAATAGAATTCATTAGTCAATATAGGAAACAGAAATACCACAAGAAAAAAATAAGCCAAAATTATCAGTAAATAACTCACAATTTTATAATGCAGGAACTGAAGTAAAAAGCTTTTCACGGTGGCATTTATGGCTAAAATAGTCAATTAGTAGAACCGAGCCTGTAATGTCTATAATTGGTCTCCAAACCCTACTCCCTATGACCCACTTTACCCTAAAGAGGTTGTGTGGGGAGAACTAAAAAATAAATACAATTTGAAACCTAAACGGGAAAAGATTGGACCAGCTCTGAGTTCTTTCCTGTAAAGGTGACTGCATTGTGAGTTGGGAAGCCAGAGGGACATTGTTTGATCAGTCCTTTTTCCTTCCATATTTCCTGACTCTTTTCTTTAATCCAATGAACATATATCAAGGACTGCAGTGCAAGGATGGGACTTAGTAACGGAGCTGAGAGTGAGCGGTGGCCCCGCTGCCAGCATTTTCCACCACATCTGCCTGGTCAGCGCGGACTCTGCTGGATGGAGTCTACCTTCTCTCCACAGGCAAACGGCCTGGGGCCAATTCACATCCATAATAGACTCCAGCTTCACCTGGGTCTTCAGTGCCACACAGCAGGCCTCTTACCCTTGGTCAGCTTCTCACATCTATTTTTGTTGTTGTTTTGTTTTGTATTGCTTTGCTGCCAGTATTCTATTCCCAATACTCAACACCGAGTGGATACAATGTCCCCTTAGGAGAAGTCAGCGAAGATCAACAGTCGCTAAGTGAACAATTCTATAGGAGCAAGTGTCAGAGGCTTATGCTTTGTTGCAACAGGTTTTTGTTTTCTATTCATTTGGGTGTTAGTTTTCCGATTACCTACATTCCTATGGAAAACTTGATTTGCCTTCTATGTGCTCTGCTTTAACAGTATCCTTCACTGAGAACACCCCTGTCTCTAAAGAAATAAGATACCACTGAATGAAGGTGGCATTCTGGTCCCCAGAACTTAGCCACTCAAGTGCAAACTACTTTATTTATTTATTTATTTATTTATTTATTTATTTATTTATTTATTTATTTATTTATTTATTTATTTATTTATTTATTTATTTATTTATTTATTTATTTATTTATTTATTTATTTATTTATTTATTTATTTATTTATTTATTTATTTATTTATTTATTTATTTATTTATTTATTTATTTATTTATTTATTTATTTATTTATTTATTTATTTATTTATTTATTTATTTATTTATTTATTTATTTATTTATTTATTTATTTATTTATTTATTTATTTATTTATTTATTTATTTATTTATTTATTTATTTATTTATTTATTTATTTATTTATTTATTTGACTCTGTGAACTGGCATCTGCAAATTCCTAAACTCCCTTCCTCCATCTAAGCTTGGATCATCCAGATATTTAGATCTGGAAAAGGCAAGCCTGTGGAAATCAGAGGGACATTCCAAAAATAAACTATAACCTATAACTATATGAAACCTTAACAAAAAAATAATTTGAAATTTTCTGATATCCAACTTGTTTTGAGTTCCAAGTCTGAAGGAAGTCCATTCATCTTCTGTTTGTTTCAGGATATAATGAGATTAAAGTCGCTCCTGCACATGTCCAGAAACCCACCAGCCCTACCTACCACATCCTCAGTGCCCAGAACAAGATTTCAAAACCCAGTGCCCTAGATAGCTACAATTACATTACACTTTAATTCCTAAAACGATGTAGCCAGGAATTCATCCAAGCCCTTTTCACTTTTCAAAAGTTGATTTTTCCATTCAAGGCTAAAACAGCTCTCACTTTAGCAAGGAAAAGTCTAAACTATGCAGATTAGCCTTTAAATGGTTGTGGTATTGACTATTTGGTCTTTCTTGTGATCTAGATTAAACCAATACTTCATTTTAACTTGTGGATTTCTAACTAGATTAAAAAAAGAAGAAGAAGAAGAAGCCTTTCTGCCACTTTTTATATCTTCCTAGTACTTAACAAACCTTAATCCTAACCTTAATTTTCAAGTCTGTCTGTAATCACCAAAACGCAGTACCATACCTTCACCAGAGATGTCTTCCGTTGTGTTTTTGTGCTTCTTGCTATGCTTTTGGTTTTTTTGTCTCTGCTCAATGAAAGACAATTCATTTGAATGAAATGCATTCTTAATATTGTTCTTTGCTTTGCCCTTATGCTGCAAGTTCACATTTAGGACAGAACGGGTTATAGGCACTTCATTCATCTCTATAAAAGAAAACCTGTGTGGGAGAGAATGCAAATATGAGCATATTTTAATTTGGGGAGGCATATTTTAGTATAAACAAATAAAGTAATAATTCTAAAAGATTTTGTGTTGAGGAATATATATGCCCATAAGCTTTTATAAATGCATATCTTCAACTTTGAAGTCTAATGTATATGCAGACATACTACCAAAAACTTAGAAGTAAATGAAATAAAAGAACTTTAGTCAATTATTTTCTAACACAATGCAATACTGAAGCTCTAAGCCACCTTTCCATGCCATGTACGTGTTTTACCAGTGGCTACATTTCCAGCCCATGACATTTTGAGACAGATCTTCACTATACAACTAGACAGTCCTTCTAATTCTCCTGCCTTTATTTCCAGGGAGTTGGTGTTCCAGGCATGTGTCTGGAAAACTTAGTTCTTAGATAAATGTGACTAGGCTAATTACGGAGCTCTTTAGTACAGCGCTTACTTATCATGTAGGGGGTGCCAAGTTTTATCCCTAATACCACAAAAAAAAGAAGAAGTGAAGAAGAAAAGAAATAACTCTTGTCTTTAGTATAAACTAAAAAACAATTCAAATATCCAGAAGGCAGAGGCAAGCAGATTCCTGAATTTGAAGCTGGTACCTGGTTTATGTAGCAAGCTCTAGGACAGCCAGAGCTACATAATGAAACTGTACACACACACACACACACACACACACACACACACACACACAGGTCTAAGTGGACCAAAGACCTCAATATAAATCCAGCTACACTGAACTTGATAGAAGAGCAAGTAGGAAAATCCTGGAATGCATTGGCACAGGAGACAACTTCCAGAGTAGAACACTGGTAGCAGAGACATAAAGCTCAATAATTAATAAGTGGGACCTCAAGAAACTGAAAAGCAAAGGGCACTGTCAATAGAACAAAATGGCAACCCATATAATGGGAAAAAATTTTCATCAACCCCACATCCAACAGAGGGCTGATCACCAAAATATATGAAGAAATGAAGAAACTAAACATCAAAGAAAAACAAATAATGCAATTAAAAATGGAGTAAAAATCTACTCAGAGAATTCTCAACAGAAGAATCTCAAATGGCAGGGAAACAACTGAGGAAATGTTTAGCATTCTTAGCCTTCAGGGAAATGCCAATCAAAAAAACTCTGAGATTCCATCTTACACCCCTGAGAATGGCTAAGATCAAAAACACTGATGACAGCTTATGCTGATCAGGATGTGAAGCAAAGGAAACACTCTTTTACTGCTGGCGGGAGTGCAAGCTTGTACAGCCACTCTGAAAATCAGTAAGGTGGTTTCTCACAAGACTGGGAGTAGATCTGCCTCAAGACCCAGATAGACCACTCTTGGTCATATAACCAAAGGACATTCAACCATACCATAAGAACATTTGCTCAACTGTTTTCAACAACTTTATTTGTAATAGCCAGAACCTGGAAACAACTTAGATCCTCCTCAACTGAGAATAGATTAAGAAAATGTGGTACATTTACACAATAGAGTGTTCTTCTGTTGAGAATTCTCTTTTTAGGTCATACTCCATTTTTTAATTGGATTATTTTGTTTCTTGGTGTCTCGTTTCTTGAGTTCTTTATATATTTTAAAGATCAGCCTGCTGTCAGATGTGGGGTTAGTGAAGATCTTTTCCCATAACTGTAAAGGATAACCATGCTGCAGTTCACAGATCAGAGAGAGGCTAGGTAACAAGGAGGGCCCAAGGGGGTACCATGGATCTCCCTAGAAATAGGAAATAGAAAAGATCTCCTAGTTGGACTTGGGGGAGGGTGAGAATGGAAACTTTAGTGATCAGGTTGAGGGGTAGGTGGAAGAGGACAGTGATGAGATCACTGAAGCTCACACCATGAAATCCAGGCAATGCACCAAGAGAATTTCTGCTTATGTGACCAAAACTCTCACTTTCTGGCTGCACCTCCTAGGTAGCTATGTAGCCTGTAGTTAGAGTGTGGGGCTAAGACATGCTTTTTCACTGTTTCCTCCAGTGAGTTCATTATGAATGACTCTTGAATACTACCTTTGAACTAAGGATTTAAGCAAGTCCATACCCCATTGATTCAGTCCATGAAACAAACAAACCAACAAAAACAGTCAAGATAGACCAAACACCAAAAGATCCAAGGCTTAAGGTGGGAAATTTTAATTTCATGCTATCTCCTAATTTTGGTTCTCCACAGCAGATCTGGTGAACACTGACCAGAACACAGTCTCAGTCACTTGTTTGTGACTCGGATTTCCAGAAAAGTTTCACTGATAAAAATTGACATACCTGAAAGTTACTGTACAGAGCGGGACTTGGCAGTGTCCTTACCTTGGTCTGTCATTGATTCCCAAAAATTGGGAATATGAGCCAAATAAAATGAAACCTTGATTTCTTGTGTCCTCTGGTTAATGTTTGTTTTCATCAAAAATGTCTTAATAAGGCTGGAGAGATGGCTCAGTAGTTAAGAATACTGGCTGCTTTTCTAGAGGACCTGAGTTCAATTTCCAGTACCCACATGGTGGCTCAAAACCCTCTGTAATTCCTGACCCAGGCTATGGCATGCTCTCTTGTAGTTTTCTGGTGCTCCAGGTACACATACGTTGCGCAAACATTCATGCAAGTATAACCCCCACACTTATAAATTAAAGAAACAATAAAAATGAAAAATTGAGTTAAGGGGGAGTTTTTTCCCCAAGAAAAAATTTATATGTACCAAAACTTCAACCAGAAATGATTAAGCATACCTGAAGCAATGAGGAAATCCCAGGAACTTATGCTAAAGCTTTAATATGTGATAATCAGCAGAGTTGGGAGCAGGATATGTAAGAGAGAACTAGAAGCCTGGTGAAATATTGCTGCTTGTTCACGCTTCACAGTCCCCACAGTAAAGTCCTCCCTGCTGCTTTCTACTTCCCTTTAGCACCCACAAGGTGGGTGAGAGCACAGCTTAGAGCTCAAGTGAGACCAGGCATTCATTCGCTGCTTAAAACTCAAATGAGACCAGGTGTTCATTCCCAGCCACAAGGCGTGGATCATGTGAACAAAGGGAAAACATTGATGAGACCAAATATTCCTTTCCCATAAGTGTATTTTTACCAAAATTTTGTTATATATGCCTCTCTGGAGCCATAGGTTAAACTCAGTTGAGTCATAATGGCATGAGAATGTGTGTGTGTGTGTGGTCCCCCTTAATCTCCCTTTAAACTTTAACTAAATTTTAGACAGTTTTCCCCAGACTATAATTGACTGACCCTCATGTTTTTAAAAGAATATACCTTTGAAAACTTGCTTGTGGCGTTCTTTCTATATCCTTTTGAGAAACAAATCTTCTGCTTGCTTCCAGGTGTACACCCTCAGAATGTCTCTGTCAAAGGCTCAGGAACCATTCCTCCAGCTCAGTCATTGAGAAAGAGAAGGGCCTCTGCTCAACTTCAGGAAGCACACACTGGGAAAGCACACACCTAAGCCAATAGCTGACCTCTTCCATAATGTCCTCTGCAATTCTCCCAGAGCAGCTCTCTCTGTTGCTTCTGCTTTTTGCTTCAAAACAATTGAATTCCATTTCCCCCTATTTCCATCATCTAGAACAAGTTCTTTGCCCATCTGATCTTTCCAGTATATGCTTTCTCTGACTGTATATGCATATATGCTGTTCGGGAAGCTCTGTTTTATGCTTTGCATATGTCTGTAAAATTGAAAGTTAAGTGATTGAAAAAAAATAAGAAAATGAAAAAGAAAGAAAGAAAGAAAAACTTTGTTGACTGTTACTCTTTCCAGTCTAGACTTTCAGAATCACTAAGTGTCTTAAATATCCCAGTAATGAGAAGTCCAGCCAGACAATGGAGTGGCAGGGACTTGAGGAGTTCTGGCTCCAACACTGCCACCAATAGGCAGTAAGGTAGGGACCCTCAAAAAGAATCAGGCCATGATCCCCTGAGCTGCAGTCTGGTGGGAAGGCTATTAAATCTTCCAATTGCCCTCATCCCTGGTACCTTTTCATGCCCCTCAGAGTCACCCTTCAGACAGTGGCCCAGGAAACAGGGATCAAAACTCCCAAGTGTTCAGCCTGAGGAAGTCAGCTTCCCAGTCTCAGGGGCCTCTACTCGGACACAGCTGGGGGTTCTCTGGCTACAGTAGAGAATTCCAAGAGAAGTCCAAGTCATACAAACATGACCTGTTTGTTGATTAGGAGAAAGGGCATATGGATTTTGAATTACACCATAGAGAAGTGTCCCTCGGTGTGTCAGTGGGAAGTGATCTGGGGGCTTTTGGAGTAACACTATTTAAAGGAGAGAAAGAAAATATTTTGACTTACTCATATCCTTCCTGACAATTATTTTAAGTATATGTGAAATCACAGGATGACGTATGAGCACATTAGATGACAGGCTTACATACAAGGAAAAGATTAATAAAAAAGACAAAAGCATGAATAAAAATAAATAAAAGTACAGAGGTCACACACACACATCCCGCCTCCCCCCCTAACCCCCCCTCCCCTCCACCACACCCCCCCACCCCACCCCACCCACCCCCACACCAAAAAAAAAAAAAAAAAAAAATTGGCAACTTATTTTGTGGTAGAGACAACCAGCCACTTTCTATGTGCTATTTTAGGCAGCATAATCTCTGATAGTTTCTGTGTTGAGTTTTCAGCCAACTATGTCCAAGCTCTTGACACAGCCAGCCAGAAACAGGTCCAGGGAGAGAGGAGCATACAGAGCTTGTCCGTCTTTCCAGACCCTCTTACACCTGTCCTCCCTTTATTTTTTACTTTTATTTCTGTGTTATTTTCCTGAAAATAACATGATTTCTTGTTTCTTTATAACTGAAAAATACTCGTGGTGTGTGTGTGTGTGTGTGTGTGTGTGTGTGTGTGTGTGTGTGTGTGCATTCATCCATCCACAGACATAGGCTGATTGTGTAACTGGGAAATTGTGAATAGTTCCATCATAGTCTGAGTGTACAGAAATTACTACTTAAATTTTGAAGACACAGGCCTGGATCTGCAACATTTCACCCTCTGAACAATCGTTTAAGTTCTAGTCTAGTCAGGTGAGATTCTTCCCAGTAACTTTCGTGTGCCTACTTGTCATTGGATGAATAATTAGCAAAGATTAAAAGCCTACACTACCACGTCTTCTTTTTTGTAGTTTAACGGGATATTTCTTTCATGTATTTATTGACAAGTTGTACTTTCACTTAAAAGGTGTTTAGTTCCCACAACATTTAAACTTGAAGTCTTACACTAAAGTCTTTGATACATTTGAAGTTTTATTTTGTTTTGTTTTTAAAGTGGTATTGGTTGTTCTGTGACAATTAAAGCTAAGAGCTGTTAAGTGGATCTAGGCTGCCACCTATTGTCTATGTGGAAAATGACTATAGCAAACTTGGAAATCTAGCCTTGTTGGGAGCACAGCATGAAGGACTTTTTGCCCACATTTCTCCAAGGGAGCCAGGAATGTTAAGCACACAGGATTTTCTTCTCACAGGAATGGTCATAAAACCTGTTCTCCCATCCAGAATTCTGGGAATGGGAAGTGATTAGCAGCCTGGTGATCTGCTTTATCTGTTGGACTAGATCATATCAAGCACCTACAACCAGGATGAGAGGTGGCTTAGTCATCCAAATGACCATTAAAAGAGATTCTCTGCGCTCCCACAGCCAGGACCAGAGATGGCTAATAGACAAAACGACCTCTGCAGGATCTGTTTGACTGAGACTGGGCCAGGCCCTTCCTTAGACCTTTAAGATAATACAGGTATCCTATCTCTAGAACCCATCTTCTTGGAAGAAATAATGTAACTTGAGTTGAGTTTCAGTGCAATCATGTCTTTTTATGCATCGGGGATTGCATTACACCAGGAAACTGTTTTTTCTAAATTGTTCTGGGTTTAAATGTGCTGGCAATAAACCACCTGGCATCAGACTCCTGAGGTTTGATCCAGGTTGATGAGGTCAATCTGAACTGAGTTTTCATTTGCACCTCTTTGTGGTTTGCTTTCCTGCCTGCAGGATGCCCCTCACAGAATTCAAAGTGGTGAGGGGAATTTGGGGACCAAAGAGAAGCCATGTAAATTAGTTAGGTAGGGTCACTAGGGGAGGTAAAAACAGATTACAGGTGACTTGTTTTCCTATAGACACACAATCCTGTTGTTGATAAACCAGCTGAAAGTACAGAATTAAAAAGGAAAACCAGAAAAAGAAGATAAATTCAATGTGTCGAAGGAGATCCAGTGACCATCCCCCACTCCCAAGTCAACCTTCTTGGTCCTGACCTGAGGCTAGGGTCAATGGGTGCTCTATCCCATCATTGACCCATCATTGTCTGAGCTTTAGTCTCATCCTGTAAGGTTGCTTGACAAGCCAATGTCTTTAGGAAGGAACCAGGCCTCTCTATTATGAAACAATATGTAGACAACTATTCTGTATTTAAATGAAAAGGTTTGGATGAGAGTCTTAGTTCTGCCCATCATTGGAAATGAAACCATGAACAAATATTTCTATCCTCCATTAAAAACTTATAAATGGTTTAAAAAAGGAATAATGTCTCCCAAAAGCACACATATAAAGACTTACTCACTTGTGGCACTGATAGAAAATGGCAGTACCCATAGAGAGGGGTCCTACTAGTAGAAAGATCATGGGGGGTGTGACCTGAAAAGGGATATCTCTTGCTTTGCAGCATTCTAGAATGGGGTAAGTAATCTGCTTCCATAGCATGGCTTCTATTGCCTTGATGAACTGTGCTAACAAGGGTTCAAAAGAGGAAATTAGTGTGTGTGGGGGGAGGGGTCTCTACAAACACTATGACCATCAGATTGTTGATCCAGGCGAGGAAAAAAGGAAATTCAGTTCAGCACAACTCAGTAGCTGGTGTTGGTTCTAACTTTGGGAGTCTGACACGCTGTAGTTTATTTTTGGCATATGTAAGTAGAGAACAATTTGGGAGAAAGTTTCCTAGTGATAACTGACTCAATCCCACGTGCACAACAAAGCTTAAAATAGGATTACATCAGAACTCTTGTAAAGTATAAGTGACATCTTCAATAAAGATAGATTTTATATATTAAATAAGGAAGCAGACTCATTGTAAATAAAGTATATGATAAGAGTCTGGAGAGCAAGATTGACTGAGATAAATAGGCTCAGGATAGAGCTCTGGGTGATTCAATGTGGCCTGGCCATTGATAACAGATAACACAGAAGTCACCAGGATATTAATCGTCTCCACTGCTAGCCTTCTGAGCAGAAAACAGGTTATATTCATCTCTCCTCTTGAAAATACAACCCTGCATGTTTAATATCCCTGGTTCCCCTAGTGTTTCTGTGAGCATAAGTACCTACATGCCTCTTACATCCCCCTCCCGTTTTTTTTGTTTTTTTTTTTAGACAGGAAATAGTTGCTGTAATAGAGAACAAAGTTGAATACACTGCCTAGATGGCTTCTCTAACTAACATAGGCAATCATAAGAAAACTATAACAATATTTAACAGAGGACCAAGGAAGGAAAAATCCATCTTAACCATGATGGTCATTCATAGGTCATTTGAGAGATTTTTTTAGTCTCTCTATGTAGGTCATCAATATTATGAGAAAATATGACACATTAAAGCAAGATATGCCAGGAAATTCTTGAGGAGCAAAATTATGCTTGAGCAACAAATAATCTATAGTAACTCTGTTTTGTAAAGCTGGGATTTTCAATTCATTCATCTCTTGATTAATTTCTATTAGTGCATGCTATGCTGTAATACTAGTAGTTTTACTAATTAGATCATCTTTGAGACCTCTCTTTGTATTCTAGTAATCATTCCTGGGACTGGTCATTTCAAAAGGCTAAAGCAATGCTTAGCATGGCAAAACAACATTATATGTGGTTTTTTATTACAGGTGTGTCTGTCTGGTCCAGCCAATTTGTCCAGTCCATGCTTGAAACGAGGAGTGTGGATTAAGGGAAGAAATAGACAAGAAACACAAGATGGAGTCGGAAGGACATCCCATAAATACGATAATCAGCCCCAAGTTTATTGCTCTAAGTTCTTATATACCCCAATCAAAGGGGGGAAGGTAAAAATCTTCCTTACCCCTGCTACAAGAAACAAGCAAATGTAATTACCTCCTTAAAACCCAAAACATCAAGTAACCACACCCTAAGCCAATTATCCTATTGTTTAGGTAAGACATCCATTATCTACACCTTCAGCCAGATATCCTGTTGTCTAGGCAAAACAATAGCCTCACCATAGACCAAACACATTGAGGTTTAACTTTGAAGGAACAAGAACAGACTTGAACTCTATGACCTTAAGCCAAGATGGAACGGAGCCACTTCTATGGGCCTCCACACAGGTGTGCCTTTTATTCCACCCTGACCAAAAACTAATTGGATTTTGCATTTACAAGCTGAGAACATGTAATACACTCAGTAGATATATCAGCATCATTTGGGGTCAGTAGTATTGTGTCCTCGTTGTTTCCCCCAAGCTCTTGGCTTGATGAGTGAAAATCCTTATGGTTCCCTAAGTTATCAGCTTACTTTTCCACATGGAAAAATGTCTCTTCTTGATGTATTTGTCATCTATCTTCAGACATTTCCTTTACCCAGTGGTCTCCAGGACGTTGTCCTGGTTGGATACATTGAAGTGACAGACATCCTGGGACTTCATTCCTTTTATTGAAAGGACACAAACATAGCCTTGCCCTAATGTTAAAAGAACATGTATTCCTTTCCATTAATTAGTTTCTAGATCTTTCTTGTTGCATGAAAAATAAAAGACCCAGAGACAGATATTGGGGTTCAAGCTTCAAGCTGAAGATCAGAGAAGCAATGCAGCCAAGCCAGTAGATCTTAACCCTAGCTGAAATGGCAATCCTGTCTCCATGAATCCTCAGAGGCAAAAGCTCCCAGTTCCTGTCTCCTGCTCCTTTTATTCCTTTCTCTGCCCATCCATATCACTCCTGTCTCCTCCTTCCTAGTGCTGGGATTAAAGGTGTGTAATCCCAAGTGATAGGATCAAAGGCGTGGGCTCTGTTATTCTTTTAGACTGATTCAATCTTGTGTAGGTATGGGTGGCCTTGAACTCAGAGAGACCCATCTGCCTTTGTCTCCTGAGTCCTGGGACTAAGGATGTATGTCAACACTGCCTGACTTCTATGGCTAACTAGTATGGCTGCTTTTCTATTTTGATCTCTAGTGGCTTTAATAAATTAGGTTGTTGTCTCCTTTAGGGCAAAAATGCTTCTGAGCTAAAGAAGAATCATTATCCTGCTACCAAAAGTTCAGCTCCCAACTCATGTGGAGACCACTTCTCAACCACAGGGCACACTAGCCAGAAGACCTGAGACAAAACAGAAACCAAGGAACAAAACACCCACCCAACAAAGACAAATGCAGAAATTAGCACCTAGTCCTATAATGACTTCAAACCCAAATGACTAGACTCCAGCA